ACTGTCTTTTGTATCCTGACCCTCCCTCCCTCCTCTTCATTCCCCTTTGTCTAATACACTGAATTTCTATTCTTCCCTCCCAGCCATGTTGAGTGTTAGCATCCACATCATTTTTTTTCAAACAATGGACTAATCTGATTCAAGAAAAGGAAATATAAAGCTAAGTTAGTGGACACCTTTTATGTGCAAGGGAAAACACAATGTGCTTTATACTTCATATAGATTGATGTTTTCTCATTCAATTCTACTTACACAGATTCAAAGAATGAGATTGCCCAGGGGGTAAGAGTTAGTCTAGTTTGTGTGTTAATGTTATATTTATTACAACCCACCAAATGATAAAAACATTTTCTACATAGAGTTTGAGTTCACAGTTAATGGAATGAAAAGATACTTTTACATATAGTGACAAAAAAAAAATATGTGCACTGTAGCCATCTAATGAGCTGGAATTAGCTAATGATCACTATGTGTCTGTGTCTTTTATTTTTTAATAGATTTGGCAAATTAATACTTTTGTATCTTTCTGAATTTTTAAGATGATAAATAAACTCCTGCATTTGGATAATGTGCTCTGCATTTGGTAACTAGTGCCAGTTATCCATCACCTGGGGTGGGGGAGTTACTTCAGTAAAATAGAACTCATTACTTATTCTCAAAAGAATGCTTTATATCAGAACAATGCTATCATTAATGGAACTTTCTAGTGACCAAATGCCAAAAATGTTTTAAAAACACCCTTATCCTCCCCATCAATTTAGATAATCCAGAAACAACATATGTGAGAAGTTATCTGGATTTTTTAGCAATAAAGCTGAGATGATGAAAGCTTTGCTTTCCCTTAGGTATCATCTAGTATTGTTATCCTAATTGTTCTCATTCTTTCTTTTTTTATTGTTCAAGGTTGAAGTACATTACTGCTTTGATATTTGCCAAAGTTCTATGGTATCATTGCTTGAGATTCACCATATGTGTCTTTGATCCCTGCCCAGTAGGAACCTGGCCAAATGCCAGTTTGGCACTCATTACTACAAAAATTTTGACTTACTCAGTGACTTCTGATTCTATTCATGCTGTTAGACAGACTTATATATATCCATCTTTGAGACCAAAGAGATTCACAGAATATCAGCCAATTTTAACTGGATCCTTTCCACCAAGTACTTGCCACTTCAGAGAATTGATAAAGCCAGTCTACCTACTTTTAGATGGAAACACAATTCCCTCCTCATTCCATTTTTGAAACCCTTTGTTAACAAGAAAAGCATTATACAATCTGCCATTTATTGTGGTCATTTTATACAAAGAAGAAATAGTGAGATGGATGGGAATTGGTATAGAGAGTGTGTGCTTTCAGTCTAATTTTCTTTTCTGTGGATTAGCTGAGACATCAGAACTATATTGTGATATTATCAGCCTGAGTCAAATTCAGTGTTCTTAGCTTAATGAACATCTTTTGTTCCCTATCTTTACTTCTCTAGAAGTGATAGCAACTCCAGAATGAAGTGAAAAATATGGCACAAACACAATTATCATAGAAAAAGTTTCGGGTCAGTTTTCTGTTAAGGAATTAAGGACTAAGCTGATTTAAGTGGCTCTTCTACCCGAAAACACTGATAGCAGTGTTTGCGGGTAGCAAGGACATATCCAGGGGCCAAATAATGCCAAGAAATTCACAAGAGGGCACAAGCCTTGGCAGCCAGGTGCTGAAATTTTAAGCACCACATGGGAAGGTACACCTATATAGACAACCATGTGAGTAGCCTACTAAATGAGCCCTGAGCATGAATCATTGTTCTCAAAAGGCCATGTTATATATAGGAAGTAAAAAAAGTTCGCCTGTTTCCATGAAATTAAAGCCATGAAAGAAAACTGAAGGAAAGTGCCAGCATGCATAGTTTTAAGTACTAGATTCATAACATCCTTATGGTACTCTGAAATACTATGTTAACAATAGCAATAATAATAATACTAATAATAATAATAATAATAATAGAAAAGACAGTGGAATGAATATGACATAACTTAATACTACTACTACTACAACTAATACTACTACTACTACTACTAATAATAATTTTATGAAATAAAATCAAACTCATTAAAAATCCCAGACAAGCAGAGATTAAATCATTTGTGAGGGTTGTTTCAATATCCCATAGAAGATTGTCATAGGAAAAAAATGCTTAACCATAACCAAAGATAAGCATTTATAAACAAGTTACCAACTACACAAGGAAATACTATATATAGGAAAAAACATTAGGACAGGAACAGAACTCAAGTGGTGAATTTACACTGCCATGTTATTTTAGAAGATTAATTAGGTAATTATTTTTATAAAAACTTCCATATGATCATATGCTTGATACCTGTTTTCTTCTCAAAAATAATTGAATACTGAGCTGTACTTCAGAGGATTATTGTAGAAAATGATATTGATACTGAATGCATGTCTATGGGTATTGTGTAGTCATCAGCATCACTGTTTCAAAGAAATTAAAATCAAATGAGAAGGTCAGAATAAAAACACATATGGGAAAATACAATTTTTTCTCTCAGATTTAAGTATATTAAAATGTTTCTAGAATGAGAATGATGGATGGCTTCATTGATATCTTCATGTATCTCCCATATTTCCAAAAATTTCTATAATAAGGAAAAGAATTATAATGATAGGACATCATTAGAGAGCTCTGAAACTTGGAGAATCATGCATAATTTGATTTGGGTGCAGGTAATTTTAGGAAACAGGAAGGAGCTGATGTTGGAAAGGTAACTGAGTCTCATCATGAAAAAAATAAAAAAAAACATTTTAAGACATGTAACTTCTTATTTGTTGTAGGAAACTCCTAAGAAGTTTAAATTAAGAAGTGTTAAGCAGATACTTATTTCCAAAAGGTTTGCTTTATCTTTATTTTACATTGAGCTTTTTAGACTTGCAAGGGATGGGTACATATTACAGTTTCTCATCATTAAAACAAATCCATTTGATATCTCTCCCACTCTTTACATTTTTCCTCCTGTAACCCCTTTATGATGAAAACATAAAGATGTACACTGATATTAATTATAAAAGCATAAACTGTTAAAATTTAATAATTGTAAGCATTCATGATTGAATATCAAGACTGACAAGTAAAAGCACATACATTGTCACTCCCTTTTATTCATTGAAATTTAAATTTTTTGAGATTATGGTATTTTATCATACGAAGAAAACTCACAAATATTTGCATACTTATAAGGTTCTTCTGTTAAAAAACTATATTACTATGGTCAACTAATAGAAATATAAAAATTTCTTAAGAACTTTTCAATTTATAATACTACTAAGCAGTAAAATTTATTTCTATGTGTTTTTTTTTCTCAACAGTAGAAAATCATACAATATTTGGTTTATCTTAGAGGTCATTTTCTCCAGAAGTTCAGCCTTTCTTTGTATGAAACGTATTTGACATTGTTAATTGAAAAACTTTTTGAAATTTTGAATAATTAATTCCATTTTGAAAATTAAAATTTCTTGTTCAAATTGAATTCTTATAAATTCTTTCAAATATGATACTCCATTACAGAATTACAATACAGTGAAGAAAATGTTATTGGACATTAATGCAACCTATATGCTTCATTTCAAGTATATTAGAAAATTAATTAACAGCTGAGCTCTGCTGGAAACACTATCTAGTAAAGATTTGGTTTTATGGATATATGCCTATAAAATAACAATGTTCAAGTAAACAGCAACCAAGGTTTTGGTGTTTTAGAGGTATCCAATAACTGCATGACTTCACTGTAGCATCTCAGAGGACGCTCCAATCTAATCCATCCCTGGTCAAAGTTGTGAGGGTCTAAGATCTTTTCTTCTGCCCCTTTTGGTGCTGTTTCACTGAAAAATCCTCTGAGCCCTCTTTTACCAGTGGAAGTCTTACCACCATACAAGTGGTAATAATGTTTAAAAAAAAATTCCGAATAGTAATTTCTTCTAAATTTATTTACACTATATTTTACAAGGTGATCTTTTGATACTTTTAGCGGGTTGTGGCAATGGTGTGTGCAGCAGTCTGCTTCCAGTTTATATTTGCTGCTGAAAACAGTAGGGCCAAGAGGAAACCCTGGTCATGGACACCTAGCTGGGTTTCCAAGAAACTCTAGATACCCTGCACGGGACTATTCTTGACTGTATCTTTTCAGTTGCAGGCTGCTGAGCATACACTGAAGTTTTATAGTGCAACAGTTCAAGTGTGCTTGTGCTAGTGAAGGGGGCTGGGGTGAGTGCAGGCAGTGGTCAGCTCCAGAACCATCTTCCAAATTTCCCACTTTCTAAGGATTTCTATTATTTTAAAGTCCCAAGAACCTTTTTAAAGAATTTTCCTTTTGAATGGATCCGGGCTTCAATAACTTTGAGTCTTGCGCCATGTGTCTTAAAAAACATAATTCCATTTCAGCATTTAACTAGCAGCACCAACATACTGATCATTTATTGACTCTTCCCTAATTTAGGACCTTCTGTCTTTTCTTCTTCATTAGACTGTTGGTGTATACATGTTTTAACCTTGTAAACTGCCTCAAGATTTTGAAGTACAGTTTTTTCTTTTTTCTTGGTCATAAAAAATAAACTCAAATGAGCTAATGATGAAAAAAAATCTACACTGAGCTACACCATGTCTAGGAAAGAACAAACTCACTGATAGAAAAACGCATCCCTCCTTCCTTTCATTTAAGCCTGTTTCTTTCTATGTAAGATCTGAATTAGGTGAGAAGTGCGATAGGTGGGTATTGTGCTAGTAGGTACCGCCAGCCCTGAGTGTACAGCCCTTAGGAAAAAAATGTGCCTTCCCTGAACATCATCCAGCTCAGTTCTTTGTTTCTGTTCTCTCCGGGTTCCCTGTGTCCGACGCAGCTACCTAAATACCCCTGTCCCCTGCACAGTCGCTGGCTAGCGCCTGCACTCCACCCCAGTCCGCGCCGCCGCAGTGCGCACCGGAGGCTCTGGGCTGGTGCTCGCCGCCCGCGCACAGGAGGCGCGCTTACTAAGACTAGCGCAGTTTCCCAGCGCGTTGCCCGCCCCGCATCATCCTGCAGGCTCCCTCCGATCGCTGACTGCAGCCCCAGGCCCCGCCATGGGGAATGTGCCCTCCGCGGTGAAGCATTGCCTCAGCTATCAGCAGCTTCTCCGGGAGCATCTCTGGATCGGGGATTCAGTGGCAGGGGCGCTCGACTCGGCGCAGGTACCACCTCGCGGCCTAGGGTGTTCCCACCCTCAGGCACACTGCCAGATGGCCTCTCTCTTACCGACCTCTTAGTGCCCTCTTCTCCTTTTATGTCATCTCTGTGCCCCTTTTTGCGGCAGTCCTGCCTGTTGGGCTGTGCCCCTTAAAAGGTTTCCCATCATCTCTGCTGTGAACCAGGATACTCGTTGCTACAGGTGAAACCCAGCAAAATCTCTATCCGTGACAATTGATAGGTCATCTAAAGGAAATGATTATTTCTGTGTTTTTCTTGGACGGGATGCATTATCTAATGTAATTTAAATACACAGGCATTTTTTTTTCAAGGACATTAACCTTATTCTAATTTCCCTCCTTAATATTGTGTAACAAAGATGACAAATGTGTCACAACATAAGGCAGAAAAAGAAATAAAGCCAACACAGAGGTTAGGAAGACATAGTAGGAAAAAATTATCCATCGGATCATTAATTGTCCCTGATGTACCTATGCATCAACAAGCTCGAACAATCTTGAATAACAGTGTAAATAATGGCTATTGCAACTAAAATTTATTCCCACATTATTCCTGAAAGCCCATGTAAAGATAATAGTCTTTATCTACATAGTATCTACATAATAATAATTCAATACACTCTCAACAAAAGAATTAGATGAAGAAAAAGTATATAAATAAATTTACTTTTAAAAAAAGTAAAAAGCTTAAAATTTATAAAAACTTAAAATTTATAACTTAAAAAGCTTAAAATTTATAACTTCACAAAATGTTAAATAATAGTAATAATTGTGGATAAATATTAAAACATGTTAAAATGGAAGGACCCTAATGAGGGCTTAGGTATTATTATCATTTTTTTTTTATTTACAGGTGCTGAATACAACAGTAATCCCAATTCATCTTGTGAACTAAATAATAACTGGTATTATTGTAATATTTTAGTGGATAAGCATCATTTTGCTACGTGGCATTAAATCAACTATTCTAATATTAATTTTTCTATGATGTTTTCTCAGTTTAGTAGAGCAATATGTGCAATTATAATCTTTATAAGTAGGAATTTTGCAATTGTGGATTCATAAAAAGACTCTTTGTTCCTCATTCCTTAAAAGAGGGCCAGGGCCTTCTAACTCAAAACCTGTTGGTGTCAGTGGTAGAGGGGAGGGCGATCCTTGATCTCACAGGTTTACTGGTTTGTTTAATTTTGTTGAATTTTCCTATATTCATCTTATATTCTATTATTATTTTTTTGTACCAGGGATTGAATCCAGGGGTACTTTACCACTGAACCACACCCCCAGCTCTTTTAAATTTTTGTTTTGAGATAGAATCTCGTTAACTGGTTTAGGGCCTTGATAAGTTGCTGAGGCTGGCTTTCAACTTGTGATCTTCCTGCCTCAGCCTCCTGAGCTACTTGAATTATAAGCATGCACTATTGTGCCTAGCTCCTACATTCTGTTTTAAGCTTTCTATTATAACTTTGTTAACGTTCTTAACTTCTCTGTTCAGTCTGCACAATAATCAGAAATTCTTCACATTTATTTCTCAAGTTTGAGACAATATGACTTGGCTTTTATTGCTGGTGAAACTTATATTTCCCTGTCTCCCTTTATGTTCTGATTTATGCATTTTGTGGGAAAGCCCACAACAGGGTAAAATTGATAAAAGATAAACTACTTTGGCTAAATAAATAAATGTCTACTTTGCCCTATTTGACACAGAAGCAATGCATTGACAATGACTAGGATTGCTGATGAAGAAATACCATGAAAGAAAAGGGATTCTGGGACTCCCATCAGCCCAATGTAGACTTCTTGTTCCTCTATGCAGAAATAGCTAAACCCTCTCTAAATATCTAAATATTTCCTTTTTACCCTCCAACCATTCTGTCAGGGAAACTCCTATGCATCCCAAGAATATAGTTTAAAAGTTACTTCTTTTGTCCAACAGTTTATGAATAATTTTCTTTTTGTTTCAATTCTGTTGAACTGTAAGGTTTTTTTTTTTTTTTTTTTTTTTTTTTTAATGTCTCTTCTTATTTGAACTCACAGCAGCACTGATACCTGACACTTGGAATTATCTCCTTCCCGGGCTTCTCTTGTAACAAACCTTTACTGCCTTAAGCCCTGCCTCTCTGGTTCCTCAATTTCCTTGGCAGGCTGAGCAGCCTTTATTTGCCTGGTTCCTCATGAATTATCTGTATTTTTCCCAGAGCTTCTTAACCATGTTCAGAGTTTCACTTATTATTTGATTGTATGTGTCTTGCATATTTATATTCCCATCTTTCCCTTGAGCTGCAATCCTGATGTTCAACTACTCACTTGATATCACTACTTGAATCTCTCAAAAGCAATTAAAACTCGAAATTTCCAAAATTGTATTCATGTTCTACTTCTTCCAGCCTTCAGCCTTCTGTAACATGCCCTACTGCATGGAGGGCCATCACAATTCATTCAGTTATTCCAAGGCACAAACCAAAAGCTCCTTTTCCTTCATTTTCCTCACACCCAAGGTATCACAGAGCCCGGCAATTTTCCATGTTGAAATTCCTTCAAATGCACCTGATTTTCCAAGTTTGCTGCTACCACCAATTTTTATTATCATGCATATGAATTATTGGATTGTTCAAGTTGTCTTTTATTTTCCATGCATCCCTCAATCCACTGTCTATATAAATGAGAAATGGTCATTATTACAAATAGAATAATACTATCCCCCTATTTCACAGCCACCTTTCAATCATCATTTCTTTTGGAATGGACAACACATTTTTTTTTAAATGCACTCTCTGAAGCTTCTCTTTTCATTGCATCACTCACCAACATCATCTTAAACTCTTCTCTCTTGTTCTTGCCACTTTAGCCACAGTGGCCTTCTTTGAGTTCTCCATAAATCATGTTTCTTTTGGAAACATGGTATTTGCTTGTTTTTCACTCTCCTAGAAAAATTCTTTCAACTAATTAGTTTCTATTCAACCTTCAGCTATCAATTTGAATGTTACTTTTCCATGAAATATTTCCCAAACTCTCAAGGTCTGTAGTCTGTTTTATATTTTCATTGCATAGTGACCTGTTTATTATGTATAATATGGCTTATATACCTGTTTTAGCATTATTTGATGTTTAATCTCCTGGCCAGACATTAAGTGCAATAAGAGCAAGGAAACAATTCATCACTCCATTCTCAGTACCTAATGGAGTATCTGGTTACAGATTTGATGTCCAAGAAGTACTCACTGAGGGAACAAATGACTGTTAAATCTACTAGGCCATAAGCATCATATACTTCTGAAATTCTTAACATTTGTTCAGAGTCTAAAACTATGATTGGCACATTGTAGTACCATAATAAATATTTGTTAAATTGTTAAAATTAACAATCGTTAAATTAGTGAAAATCAATAAGAATTAGAACATGTAGAGTTTGCTCAAACTGTAGATGGATATTGTCATTGTTTAAACTTTTCATTGCATAGAAATATTACCTTTCTTTATGTAGTCTGACCCTTACATTGCATAAAGTTTAGCAATTTAGAGACCAGTAAAGGAAATGCTTACTCTACCATGGGTCCATTAATTCACTTCTTTGGGTCAAAGTATATTTGCTAATGAAAATAGTTTTTCAGAAAATTCTCTTGATAGACTTAAGAGGTTAAATTTGCTTAATCTGTGCCTAAAGCTATTTCTTAGGACCTGGTTTATTTTTCATACTTGTCTACACTTGTCTCTGTCAAAATGGGTATAATGAAGCTGGTTTAACTGGTTTGTTATAACATTTTGATTAAATTTCAGGTTCTTGGTTTAGTAATATCTCTTTGATTTTCAAGTACTGCTTAAACAGTAATGAATCTCCTCAATATTAATATACCTTGCTTCAACCACAACAACAAATTCCTAAGACCTAAATTCTAGCACAGTGTTTCAAACCTATTATATTTCTAAAAGTAAAATTTTAGATTATGTGAGGTTGACGTTAGTGTTATTCACATTTGATTTTGATCCTTCATGTTTACTGTCAGTAAAAATCATAATTCAAAGTATGGAATTTAATCTGAATATATTATAATTTTGCTTAAATTTAATGAAAGAGCAATGTAATTATATACTTTTAGATTGCAACCTTGTAGCTGTTAGTAAATATATTAAGTACCTTATGATTATTGGGGATCAATTTTAAGATAGGAAACAAACTACTATCCCACTGTTTGTTTTCTATTTATTTCGTACATTCTTTCTTCCTTCACCCTTTTTATTTCTTATTTTTTGGTATATCTTAAATACTTAAGTTTTAATATTTAGTTTTTCTCCTTCATTAGCATTTAGCTAAATGCTATTTGTATTATACTCTTAATTGCTAACTATATCAACACACAACCTAGATTTGTTAAAATATAATACAAAGTAGTACTAATATAACTTATTAAAATGAAAATATACCACATTAATTCTATTTACTGCCTTCTGCTTTTTATTTTCATTGTCATATATATTCATTCTCTATATAGTATATTTACAAAACATGTATCCAGTTAATATCTATTTATATTTGTGTGCATATTTCCTTTTCCTTTGCTTTTCCTTCATTTTTCATCTCTATTCTTACTTTCCTTCAATCATAAATATTTTCTTCAATGTTTTCTTTAGTAAAAAGCCTACTAGTGATTTATTTCAGTTATTATTTGAAATAATGCATGCACATGTGTATAACTACACACACAGATATATAAAATGTTCATAACTGTAAATGAACATTCATATACACATATATCCTATATAAAGAACTAAAATACATGACAGCAGTGCAAAGCTGCAAACAATACAATTAGGTACTTTCCCTACTTTTTGTTAATAGTGTACTTTTCATTCCTTGTTTTGGTTTCTAAGTGTATAGTATGATATGTCTAGGTTTAGTTTTTTTCTATCTGCCTAGGTAAGAGTTTGTAGCACTTCTTAGATCCATGACTTAATGGTTGTTGGCTTTCTTACATTAATTGTTGTGTTCT